AGCGGCCAAAGATGATACATACATGAATGAGCATGGTGTGTTCAGTAAAATGCTTTTATTTTTATTGGCACTGAAAGTTGAATTTCTTACAATTTTTATGTGTCATGAAATATATTCTCTTTATGATTATATTTTAATGATTTGAAAATGTGAAAACTATTCCTTGCCCATGAGCCATACAGAAATAGGTAGTGAACTATGTTTGGCCCAGGCTATAGTTTATTGACCCTGAACTAGATAATGAACTACCCAAAGGCTGGGCTGTGTTGCATGCCCTTGTGGTAGTTACCCCTTAAGGGTGGGTCTGTTTCTTCACCATACTATTCTTAATGATGAACACAGTGCCTGGCATACAGCAGGCATTCAACAATGTTATTAAATGGAAGAATAAATATTCATTTACTTATCTAGTTTTCAGACAATCAGCAGGTATTTCAAGAACTGGTCATGAAGAATTTCTAGGAGAAGGAAAGATCAGGGGTACTGACAGTGTCTTGTGAGATTAGCCTAGGATTATCTTAGTAGGGGTATTTTCACTGCATAGAGAATTGGATGAGTGAGATGTGGGTGGCTGAGATGAAGTGGGTTGGGAGGTTGAAGAGATGAGGGTTAAAAAGTTGTAGACAATACGTGAAAATGAAGACTGGTACAATATCAATAGAGGGAGGAAGACCCAAAAGAGTTTAAAACTTTAAAGGCAAATGTCATTTTTTTGTACACTTAGCTCCAATCAAACTCTAACTTCAATCATGCATTATTTCAAAGAACAATTCTCATAATCTGGCTCCATAGGCTTTTCAAATATCCTAGGGAGCCACTAAGAGAGTTGATCTTTGCTTTTCCGACTTCCGTTTCCCCTATACTCCTTTACTTTTGAAGAGTCCTGAGTAGAACTGGGGGAGTTCAACACTATTGCTGTCTGTAGTAATGTATATCCACATAAAGCACAAGGAATTGAATATAGTCATACAAGACCTGCTCTGGCCCTAAGAAAGTCCTGAGATTTCTTCTCTGGGTCACTCAGGGCTAGAATCAGCCTGCAGATATGGTGCTGAACTTCTTTGATCCTAACACCAAGGACCAGGGAGAGGGAGGGCATGTCTTCCATCTATGTGGCTCCTATATCATTCAAGAGCCATCCTCTATGACTCAGACCTTCAGCCCCTAGTCCAGAGAATTGGACTCACAGATGTGAACCATTGTTCCTACAGTGGGTTATGATTGGACATCTTCTCTTAGGTTTCTTTCAATAGTTACCATGTGAACACATTCTTTACAAATGTCCTTGGAGCATACACCAAAATAGATAATATCCTTGGCCATAAAACAAACCTCAGCAAATTTAAAAGAATTGCAATTATAAAGAAAAAGTTATCTGACCAAAAGGGAGTCAAAGTAGAAAACAGAAAAATAGCAGAAAGATGTTACAACAGTTGGAAACTAAATAACACATTTCTAAATAACCCATGGGTCAAAAAAACATGTAAAAGGGAATTAAAGCGTACACTGAGCTGAATGAAAATGTAAATACAACATGTAAAACATGTGGGACACAGTTAATCCAATGCTGACAGGGAAATTTGTGGCACTAAATGCTTACATTAGGAAAGAGGAAAAGTTGCAAGTCAATAATTAAAGTTTTTACCTCAAGAAACTAGAAAAAGAGTAGCAAAATAAACTGAAAGCAAGTAGAATAATATAATAAAGAGAAAAGCAGATAATCAATGAACCTCAAGAGAAAAAAATAGAGAAAATCGGTGAAGCTAAGAATCGATTCTTTGTGAAGAGCAATAAAATAGCCAAACCTCTAACTAGATGACAAGATAGAGAGAGAAGGCAAAAATTATAAAATGAGGAATGAGACAGGGGATAACCTTTGGACATACAAAAGATATTAAGAGAATACTATTAGCAACTCTACACACATAAACTTGAAAGAAATTTATCAATTCTTAAAAAATAAACCTCACCCAATATGGAATAGAAAATTTGAATATTATTATACTATTAACAAAATTAAATCCAACATTTAGGAACTTCTATAATGTCCACATGGCTTCATTAGAGAATTCTACCAAACTTTTAAAGAAGAATTAATACCAATGCTATATTATCTTTTCCATAAAATAGAAAAAGGGAGAATGCTTTATTACCTGAATGCTAAAATACAAAAAGAAAAGAAATTACAGACCAATAGCCCTCATGAAGATAGACATACAATTCTTTAAAATTATAACAGAATTTAGCAATGTGCATAAAGAATTACATACCATGATTAAGTGGGGTTTATTTCAAATATTCAAGGCTGATTCAATATTCAAAAGTCAATCAATGCAATCCACCATTTTAGCAGGCTGAAGAAAAATATCACATGATCGTATTAATTGATGCAGAAAAATTATTTGACAAAATTTAACAACATTGATAGAATCTCTCAACAAGTTGAGAATAGAGAGTAACTTTCTCAAGTTGATAAAGAATATCTGCAACTAACATCATACTTAATGGTGAAAGAAGACTGAATACGTCCTCATAAGATTGAGAACAAGACAAGGATGTCCACTCTCCATTGCCATTTAACATAGTAAACTGTGTTCTCCAACCATTGCAGTAAGGCAAAAATAAAAATAAAAATAAAAAACAACCAAACAAAACAACTATAACAGAAAACGAGGAGCATGCAGATCAGAAAGGAAGAAATAAAACTACCTCTTTTCTCAGATAATATGATTGTTTATGTAGAAATTCCAAGAAATCCATCAAAAAAAGCTTCCGTATTAGTCCATTTTCACTCTGCTGATAAAGACATATCCAAGACTGGGCAATTTACAAAAGAAAGAGATTTGTTGGACTTACAGTCCCACATGGCTGGGGAGGCCTCACAATTGGCAGAAGGCAAAAAGAAGCAAGTCATATCTTACGTGGAAGGCAGCAGGCAAAGAGAGAGCTTGTGCAGAAAAACTGCTGTTTTTAAAACCATCAGATCTCATGAGACCCATACACTATCATAAGAACGTCATAGAAAGACCCACCCCCATAATTCAGTCATCTGCCACTGGGTCCCTCCCGCAACAATGGGAATTATGGGAAGAGCTACAATATGAAACTTGGGTGGGAACACAGAGCCAAACCATATCAACCTCCTAAAATTAAGTGAATTCATCAACATTGTAGGAATCAAGATCAACATATAAAATAAAGTGGATTTCTGTATACTAGTAATGAACACATGGAACCAAAAATTAGAAATTCAGTACAGTACCATTTATTAATGCCCCCCAAAAATGAAATTCCTGGGTGCAAATCTAAAAATATGCACAGGACTTATATGCTGAAAACTGTAAAATGCTATTGAAATAAGTCAAAGATCTAAATATATGGAAAGACACTGCTCATGGATTGAAAAACTCAACCTAGTAAATATATCAGTTCCTATCAAAATCCCAGCAAGGTTTTTTTGTAGACATAAACAAGTTGATTGTGAAATTTATATGAATAGGCACAGGTCCTAGAATAGCTACAATAATTTTGGAAAATAAGAAGAAAGTAGGAGAAATCACTCTACTTGATTTCAAAACTTATTACATAGCTACAGTAGTCAAGAATGTGGAGGACAGATAGACACAGAGATCAATTCAACAGAATAGAGAGCCCAAAACATAAAATATAAAATTATAACACTTTTAGAAAAATACCTAAGAGAAAGATTTTGGAAAATAGGCTTTGGTGAAGTTGTTAGATTGAACACTTAAAGTTAGCTATAAAAAATTGATAAATATGACTTCATTAAAACTAAAAACTGTTCTGTGAAAATCACTACAGACTGGAAGACAATATTTGCAAACTACTAACTGACAAAGGACTTGTATGGAAAATATAAAAAGAACTTTCAACAGCAAATAAAATAAACAATACAATTAAAAATGGAAAAAACATGTGGAAAGACATTTCTGGTGAGAAGGATGGCAAATAAGCACATGAGATGTTTGATATCACTTGCTATTAGGGAAATGTAAATTAAGGCCCTAAAGAGATATCACTACACTCCTATTAAAACAGCTTAAAAAAATAGTGACAAAACCAAATGCTGGCAAGGATGTGGAGAAACAAAACTTCTCATGCATTGATGGTAGAAGTGTAAAATTGTACAGCCACTCTGAAAAGTAGTCAATCTCTTTAAAAATCAAATATACATATTACAGACTCAATAATAAAAATCTTTTGGCATTTACCATAGAAAGGAAAACTATGTTCACACAAAAACCTGTACATGATTCTTTATAGCAGCTTTATTTGTAATAGCTCAAAATGGTAATCAAAATGTCCTACCAGAGGTGGATGGTTAAATAAACCGTGATACAGCCTCAGCAATAAAAAGAAACATCCATTAAAACATACAACAACTTGCATGGATTTAAAGAGCCTTAGGCTAAGTGAAGAAAATTCAATATCAAAAGAAAGTATATTGTATGGCTTCCCTTATATAATGTTCTGATGAAAGTTGAGAGAGAACAGATTAGTGGTTGACAGGGCTTAGAGATGGTGAAGGAAGGGGCTGGGTGTGAGTGTAAACAGCACCAGGGAGATTTTTTGTGGTGATAGAACAGTCTGTATACCGATTGGGGTGGTGGTTACAGGATTCTACATTTGAGATAAAAATATGCAGACACTGTATCGGTGTCCAATTCCCGGGTTTTGTATTGTTCGGTAGTTAAATAAGGTGTCATGAATGAAGGAAACTGGGTGAAGGGTGGGTACATAGGATATTTATGTATTATCTTTGCAATTTTCCATGTTCTATATATTAACTATTCGAATTATTTTTCAATACAGAAACTGATTTCAAATAACCCTTAGTTGCCTTGGGTATCTGTGGCTCCCATTATTTCGCAAGAGGAGAAACTTGAAAATGTTGAATCCCGCAATACCCACATATAGGCATGCCCTGACTGAGGCCGTGCGCTGAGACAGGCGCTGGGCGGCTGCAAGGTGGTGAGCCAGAGAAGTCTTCCCTCGCCCTGAGGATGCGGCGAAGGTTGGCGCCACTGAGGGTCTGTGTGAGGGGGGCGTCGCCGAGTTCAGCCCCACCCTCTGCCGCTTCCCCAGCGGGTCCGGCGTTCGCCTCTTGTGGCCAGAAGGCGGGGAGCCAGAGGCGCTGGGGACCCCCGCGTGGCGCTCCAGCAGCCCGGACCATCGCGGCACCGCGCCTTAGGGAAGAGCAGGGAAGGAACTTTCTCTGAACCGCGAACATTTTTGGTCACTGAGATTGAGCCTTCCGGTGCTCTGGCTTCCCGCCTCTTTATCTTGCGTTTGATCCGTGAGCTGCTTTCCTTTCCCGAGCCGCCCGGAGTGCCGCCAAAAGCCCTCCCGCGCGCCACAGTCCCCGGCAGAGGAAGGGAGGCGCGTACCTGCCGGTCACCCTGAAGCCGTCGCCGCGCCGCGGACGCGGAGGGCCGGGCAGCAGTGGGCGGTGGCCCCGCGTCCCAGGAGCGCACAGCAATGCAGGCGCTCAACATCACCCCGGAGCGGTTCTCCCGGCTGCTGCGGGACCACAACCTGACGCGGGAGCAGTTCATCGCTCTTTACCGGCTGAGACCGCTCGTCTACACCCCCGAGCTGCCCGGGCGCGCCAAGCTGGCCTTCGTGCTCACCGGCGTGCTCATCTTCGCCCTGGCGCTCTTTGGCAATGCTCTGGTGTTCTATGTGGTGACCCGCAACAAGGCCATGCGCACCGTCACCAACATCTTTATCTGCTCCTTGGCGCTCAGTGACCTGCTCATCACCTTCTTCTGCATCCCTGTCACCATGCTCCAGAACATTTCTGACAACTGGCTGGGGGGTAAGAGTCGCGCCCGCTCCTCCCGTAACCCTCTGCCTTTCAGGGGACTTCCTTACACTTTTCTGTCAAATGAATCTGGTGCTCTTTCTTAGAACTTCGCCACCTGTGTTCACTTGGACATAATTTTTTTGCCGCCTCTGATTCCCGTCCAGCGCTTCCTCCTTGTGGCTTAAAGACAGAGGTTGCTGAAAGTCTTGGGAAAGGTCCCGAGCAGTGAGGTGGGAAGTCGCACCTCTCTCCTCTTATTTCAGCTCCCTTTTCCGTAATTACCAGGTTTTTCTCCCCTAGTTTTCTAACTAAAAGTAAGATTAAAATATTTCAAATAATTAAACAAACCAAAGTTAAAAATCTCATTTCATCGTTCCCTAAATCTCCTTCCCAGTTGCTTCCAGACAGGTCCTTGTACCTATGAACATATGCATGGACTTTATATCTTTCTAAAACAAATATAATTCATGTGCAGAAAAAAATATTGAACTAGCCCTTTAAAAAATTGTATTAAGTGTCATGCAGGAAAAAGGAACACAGAAGACTGATGACCTCTTGACTATTAAAAAAGGAGAGTTGACATTCTCCTCCTTCTATATAATGGGAACAAAAATGATAGAGGAGAGGTGGAGTCACTGAGTTGGGAGCAGTGTGTGGAGGTTGGAAAACAGACACCATACTACTTCTGATGGTCCAGCCTTTCCAAGGCGACACAGCTGGGGAATGCCCTGGAGTAAACCCATGAGCAGCAGTGTGTTGCAGTCTCACCAGTGCCCATGGTGCACCGCGGGCCCCCTCATTTTCACGGTTGTGTGTATTCTTGTGGCCCCATCAAAATAGTTGAAAATCTAAGAGAAATTGATCATTATGCCTTCAATCTCTGCTATTTCTATCCCTTAAAATGGTTGGAAATGTAAGGGAAAGTGATCATTGTGCCTTCAGTCTCTACAATTTCTATCCCTATTACTAATTCCCTTAAAGTCATGGAGAGTGTTTCATCCTATTCATCCTACCGTTACCAATTTGAGATAGTGAGCGTTGCTTTTTTTCCCATTAACTTAAACCGAGTTTGCTGTTAGTGAGTCAGAATGCTAAAGTTCTATATTCTTATCCCATCTATAATGTAAATATTTTGAAAAAAGCATTAAACATTGAGTACAGAGTGTTGACTTGAAAGTAATACACAATGTAGAAAGTAAGACATTGATTTATGGATTAGAAACTTTCTTATGCACACTGATGCAGTCATCGTATTTGGGCATTTTAAAGTTGCTCAGTGAAACTAACTCCATAAAATTAATGGATATTTTTTGATTATCATACAGAACTTGGTTTTGGGGGGAAAAGCGCATGAGTTTTCATTTCTAAATGTTTGTGAAACCGGATTTATGAAGCTGATTTGTACTGGGGATGATTATAGCTCTGTTCGTAAAGGTGAAAATAATTATGCAAAGTGGGATTTTATACTGGAAATCAGAAGACCTGGCTGTAATACATGTTAATTTAGCATGTGTTCGTCTCAATTTTTCATTAAAACATTAGGGATTAGAGATGTTTTAAAGTGCACTGAGTCAGAACTTTAGCTCCTATTCATAGTGGGGAATGATGGCCAAGAATGTCCGTATAGTGTATCTTCTGTCTTGAGGGCTTATTTGGGCACTGCTAAGGTTTTTCTCAAGTTTTCTGTTTTCCCCTCTTTTTACTTCATGGAGAACATTTCACTTTAGCTTCTGAATACTGAAGACGTGTAAAATTGCTCACTTATTTTATAGGGTTAGTGTGAGAATAAAGTGTATCAGCAAAGTGCTTTGAAAAAAAATTCATCATGCCATGAGAGCATAAGGTATTAATTATATTAAGGGGTGTTCAACTGGAGGTGGCCTATGTTTATCTGGGACCAGATTTATAGCATAAATAATAATCTTATAAACTGAGTAAATAATACCAAAATTGAAGTGCGAGGGAGAGGAGAGAGCCTGCAGAGGGGCTAGAGATAAATATGAAAAGAGAATTAACTTGTGGATTATAGGACAGGATAATCATTGTAAAGTTTCCTTGATAACTTAACAAAAGAAAGTTCAAGAGAATGTAATCTAAGAGCCAAAAATCAATCCATAATTTATTATTTTACAAAGCTACTGAGGAGCTCCTATCTGGCAAAGCGTTCTACCTGGAGAGTACAAAAGTGAGTAAAGCCTATCTATGCCCTTCAGGACCTCAGAGAATAGGAGGTAGCCCCCAAATGAGCAAAAACAGGATTTAATAGAGAGAAAGAGGATCCACTCTGCTATAGGAGCACAGAAAATTCAGACGGCTTCTTCAAGGATGTAATGTTCAAGCTGGGTCTTGAAGAATAATTCAGATAATAATTTAGACTGTTTCCAGCAGAGGGTGGAATGTATTTTAGGAACAGGTGTCAGTGCCAAGTTGGGGGAAAGAAAGAAGATGGCGTAGTTCAAGAATACCATGCAAGGCATTGCAAGAATGCACAGTTTATATGTGGGGAATGGCAGGAAATGAGGCAGAAAAGTGGATCTACTTTGCCTCACCTATTATTCACTCACTGAACATGTTCTGTTTCTTCCAGCTAAATGCAAAACAATTGATTTTGCTTGTGACCAGTGCTCTGGAAGTGCAACTGGGGAGGGAAAAATATATATACATATATATATTAACTATGTGTTTTATATGTATATATATATATATATATATATATATGATATATAGTTATGTAAAAACCTAAAATATGAATACCCCTCAAATTCCTCCAGGAATAAGGTAGGAAACACAAACAAAGCAGTGAAGATCACCAGGAAGCAACAGTGGCAAAAGGAAGGCTCTGCCTCCTCTGAAGGAGGCATGATTGCAGCATGAGGGAGTGGTGCCAGGATTATCACATCTTCTTTTGTTGTTGTTATTGCTTTCCCACCTCCCCTTCCGAAAAGCTGGGCATACAGATTTTTATAATGCTGGCTTCTAAGTCAAAGACAAAAAGTAAAATGCAACTGGGTAAAAGGAAACATCTCTGTGGACGTGGTCACAAATAATTCATGGATTTCCAGTTTGTGACATCTCTACATTGCCTCTCAAATATTTCTGACAATGGTAAGGCTGTGAATGACTTCTCTTTCTTGCTGGGGACCAGCAGCACCTATTGAGTCAAAACATGCATTTTAACAAAGTTCTCAGTTGTTTCACATGCACATTAAATTTTGATAAGCACTATAGAAGTCAGCTCACTCAGGTCTTTAAAAGAAAAAAAAAATTTGTTAAGCACTACTTGAAGTAAGTAGTGGTTAGACCTGGCTACACAGAAAATCTCCTGAAGGGCTTTTGAAAATGACCTGCGCCAGCCCCAGCCCAGACCAGTTACTCTTGACTCTAGAGCCAGCCGCACTGCCTTACAGAGCCAGGTGAGCATAACTCTACTCAGGTCCCCTTTCAGGGACGTGTTGTTGGTTTAAAATTGGTCATGGTGGGAGTATTCACATCATGGAAATCAGCAGTTTCTAGTTAGGTCTGTTTTAAAAAGTGAGAAACAAAACAGAAATCAGACAGTTGTTTTCCAGCACACCTCTGAGCAAATACATTGAGTTTTCTTTTGTACACTGATGGGACCATGAATAATAGGTGAGGCAAAGTAGATCCACAAACATGCTTTTACATGAATTACACTGAAGTTGGAAAGAGATACAGCTGATCCTCTGCATCTACGTGTGCGCAGCATGGAGGCAAGCTGACATTCAATTCCTTTCATCCACCTTGCGTTACCATCATCCCCTTATTGGCGTACGTTTGAACTAACAATTGACTTGACTCTTATTCCCCAGGAGCTAGCAGGAGTGAGGATTCTCTGCCCCCAAGTATTATAAAGAGCATATGCTTATGAGTTTTTTATTACTCATATGAGGGTGGAGTTGTGCTTCCATGGCACTTTCCTTTAGGAGAGTTTTGTCTCTGTGCTCTTCTCTGATTTATTTGGTTGGACTGCAGCCATGGATTTGCCCATTGCCTTCTTAGGGCCACAGATTTACCTATTCTTATCTGCAGCCTGTTCCTCCCCATTTTGTTTTTGTTTTTTTTCCTCCTTTTTATCATTGTCTTCACAATGTCTTAATGTTCCTCCAAATTCACTCACTAAACATCTTCTGTTTCTTCCAGCTAAATGCAAAACAATTGATTTTGCTTGTGACCAATGCTCCAGAACACCACTCTCTTCTCTAAGTTTCCATGAACTAGTCTTTGTTTGTCTTTCTTTGTTTCCTTTATGTCTCTGTTCTCTTTATGTTCTGCCTTTTGAGAGTTCTCACACTTTCTCTTATTTTGCAAGTGATTGTCCACTGAAGCTTAGTATGTAATCTCTTTTCTTTCATCATCCATTTATGCATAGAGGCTATAGTCACCACTCTTACTTCTTTTGTGATGATTCTGAAATCAGTATCTAATCAATATCATAAGCCATGGTCTTTCACCTGATCTGAAGACTTGACACTTACACATGAATACCTTACCAGCCTTCATCATTCTCTCATGGTACCTTGTTCCTCTGCCTAAAGTCTAAACTATTATTAATGGCACTATAAGTTATTCTTATATTCAGCATTTCCTGGGTATTGCCTATGTGCACTGGGATATTGTAGGTATTGAGAAAGCTGTGTTCTTGTGGAAAAGCCGTTTCCATTAGACAAAGAAGGGGAAGGAGGCATTCAAAGAAGTGATAGAGAATGCAGGGGGTTTTGGTGATGTCAAGGTTCCAGGGCACACAGTGCAAGTATTGAGGAGTAGGGGGCTTAAGTCAGATTAAGGGATGTTCACAGTCTGATGTGTTTGAGTCCAAAGTTGAGGGATGGGCTGGGAGAGAATGGGACTCATGGTAGCTGCGGCAAATGAAAACTTAAGGCATAGGAATATTAATTCTGAACACTTCCCAGAAGGAGGTAGAAAATCAATTCTATTGCTAGCCTGCTTTATGATTCTAAGCATTAATAAGATGAGTTGGGGAGTGTTTGGGG